GTTTTGAACTACTGTCTTCATAAGGAGTTTCTTAAAAATTGCATTACAGACAAAATTACATTTACCATTAACTGCTTTTCGAAAGCTTTAAAGAGTATTTCAGATAATTATCAACAGATGGATTTAACTTCTTGGTGAAAAAAAATTGATGAAAATTTTAAAAAAGAAAATTACAGTTATCAGGTAAACAAAATTACTAATACTTTTATTAACTATATGATACTTATGCCAAGAGACACTTCTTTTACAATTACTTTCAGCAAATATCCAAGGTTATATTAAGAATGCTACTTTAATCTTAATGCATATTAAAGGAGACCATCATTAAGTTAACTAATGATAAAGAAACAGAAATAGAGTATTTTCTTAAACAAATCAGCATTTTCTGCAATAATTTTTTTAAAACTATGTTATAAATTAAACTTTATATCTATATTTTACGCTGATTATTCAACGCCATATTGGTTTTTAGTAAATTTATATCTAAAACTTTATAGTTCTTTTTTGATAATTAAATAAAGTAATATAAATTGTCCATTTTCGTAAAAATGCCAATATATATATATATATATATATATATATATATATATATATATATATATATATATATATATATATATATATATATATATATATATATATATATATATATATATATATATATATATATATATATATATATGTTTATATATATATATTCCACTAACGGAACACTTAAGGGAAATCTATATTTTGTTCCCGTAACGTACATTTTATATATTTTTTTCTTTTCGATTTTAACCATATATGTTATTTTTTTTATATTTTTTTTATGTCTATTTTTTTACACATATTTAAGTTTATTATTTTGTTTTAAAAATATATTTTTTATAAATATTTATATTATTTTTATTTAATTAATATATATTATATTTTATCTTTTTAAATATGTATTAATAAAAGCGATTATTTACAGAAATATGATCATATGTAGACCTTGCCCCAACCCTAACCCTAATCCCAAACTTGTCTCTCGCCCTAACCTAACCCTCAGTCATTGTAGCAGCACTCCGTTTCGAGTCAGGCTATAAGATAGTGGGAGCATGTACTTTTTACTTTCGCAAAGAGGTTGCTTACGGAGACATTTCTTTACAAAAAAAATAGCATTTACGGGTACAAAAAATTAACGGGTACAGCAAAATGTCCCCGATAATTCAAATGTTCACATAAATGCTATTTTTTTGTAAAATCTGTCCCGTAAGTGTTCCGCTAGTGGAATATATATATATATATATATATATATATATATATATATATATATATATATATATATATATATATATATATATATATATATATATATACAAATAAATTTAGATGTATTCTACAAAATAGAGTGCTCAATGTTCTTAAAAGAACAGAGCAATAATAAATTAGTAGAAAATCGCTTAACAAACTTTTTTAATTTTACACTGTGTTTCATCAATCATCAAAGACTCATTTATATACTACGTTTTTTGATCAAAAAACGTAGTATATAAATGTGTTGTTTCCTCTAAGAATGTACCTGATAAACAATATATTGGCTCAGCAGAGGGTGAATGGAAAAAATGTTTTGCCAACCATAAACAATCCTTTAAAAATAAAAAGCATTCAAAAGACACCATGCTGTCAAGATACATATGCGAATTAAAAGATAATAACATTGATGATTTTATATTGAATTGGTCTATCCTTAAAACAGCACCTGCATATAATAATATTTCCAAAAAATGCATATTATGTCTACAAGAAAGTTTGAAATAATCACACATACGAACTAAGAATGTTTATTAAACAAAAAATCGGAATTGATTTCTAAATGCAGGCATGAAAATAAGTTTATCCTAAAAAACTATAAAAATAAGTAAGCTGAAATAATAATTATGATAAATATATTTTTTAAAAATAAAGCTGAAGTAAACAATTCTAAAGAATTCTTTTAAATAGTGTCAGCACATTCCACAAATGTGTGAAAATTTTACAGTAGCTAAGTCATTTATGACTTCCTGTAATTTAATTTTCGGTATAAATTGAAGTTTTATAAATTTAAACATTCATTTCTGATGAGTCTTAATTGATGAAACACGGTGTAAATGGAAAAAAGTTTGTTAAGTGATTTTCTACTAATTTATATATATATATATATTTTTTTTTTTTTTTTTTTTTTTTTTACATCTTCACTTCCAACAAGGCTGCAAGCAACCACTACCGGAGTTGGAAGTTACTAGAAGAGAAAAGATGAAGATTATAAAGCAAGATAACGGTTAACAGACGACTTAAAAGACTGCAAATTATATGAATTAGGAAAACAAGATGAAGGGAGCGAATTCCAAAGAACAGATGTTCGAGGAAAAAAACTAGACGAATAAGAACTTTTGGAGCACTTAGGAACAGTTACAGTAAAAGGATGAGACTTAATTGAGTGACGAGTAACACGAGAATGAATTTTAGTAGATGGCACAAGAGATGCTAGCTCCTTAGAGCAGCGCCCATTATAATATTTATAAAAAAGAGAAAGAGAAGCAACATTACGGCGATGTGACAATGGTTGAAGGTTGGCTGCAAGAGCAGGTCCAATAATGTTTACTATACGTTTTTGCACCTTATCTAAAAGAGAAAGGGCATCATTTGAAGATCCGCTCCAGATATGGCAACAGTATTCCATACAATATATATATATATATATATATATATATATATATATATATATATATATATATATATATATATATATATATATATATATATATATATATATATATATATACATATATATAACTATAAGTCGCAGTATTATGTTTGTATATACAGTGCTCGATATTTACAAAACGGAACACTTGTCAAAGTTATTGGAGCTCTCAAATTTCAGAAGACAATAGAAAAGTTAAATGAAAGAAATTATATTAGTTGTGATAAATCTTAAATTCATATTATATGATATGACATTGTCAGTCTGTCAATCAACTTAATGTCCAAAATTGGATTTGTAAATTTACAGTTTGTTAAATGAAAATTTGAAAAAATTGTAAAATAAATTGGAAACTGTTTAGTGTTTAGTTTATTTAATCAATCTGTTTCTGTTCCACCAATTTTATAGTATTTTCCATAAGAATGTATAGGTTGTGTCTTCTTTCTTCTCACGTTTGCGACTTGCCGTATCGTCAGCTGAATGCCTGCCTTTGCAAAACCATGATCGCACGTAAGTCTGCGCATTGAATTTTGACAGTGGAGGACCAACGCACTTGATGAATAACAGCGCTGCAATTCTTTGGATGTTTAAAGTTGCCCGAATTGGTGTGACAACTTCATTCATGGAACTGAAATTTCGTTTGCATTCACTTGTTGATATTGGTATAGTAGCTATGACCTTGAAAAGGGGATGCAAATCTTTAGGTATTTCTCTATCTCCTTTCTCTTCATTTAATTTGTAATATCTAAAGCCACGAATAATACTCGGCTCGTCTAAATGAAATTGATGACATAACTGGCGAATGTCATTGTCCCCGTACTGAATGTCAAATTCATCTTGTGTTGCCCTTTGCCAATAATTTGGATCCAGCACTTTTAAATTTTCCAGCAGGTGATTTTAAGTACTGACATTTTCTAGACGATAATTTTCATCACGACTAATATGCAAGGAACTTGTGGTTATCACGCATGTTGTTAAGTTATATGCCAAACTTATGAAAAGTTGCGCAGTATTAATGGTTGTAACATTACCATCATGAAGTGGCACTCCTTTGTATTCTTTTTTATTAACAGCATTTATTGCACCGGATATTTTAGGGCCATGCTATATATATATATATATATATATATACATATATATATATATATTTATATATATATGTATATATATATATATATATATATATATATATATATATATATATATATATATATATATATATATATATATATATATATATATATATATATATATGAAATTGCCAGGTGAAGTCACCTTAGAAAACATCCATTATAGGCTTTTAATAATCTTCAAATATCTCTCTATACTGATGTTGGTTAAGGTAATTAGTATAAAGATGCGCCGGTCCATTGTTAGATACAGCAATACAACCCCAACTGCCAATTGAACCTCCTCCTTCTTGAACTCTTGAGATGGTAAAACAAGGATTATATTTTTCGTTTATGTATCTCCTCAAGACAACCCTTTTATTGCAATAAATAAGATCAAAGTTTGACTTATCCGAGAAAATTACTTTTCTTCATTGCTCTACAGTCCATGCAGCTCTCTCTTTGCGCCATTTTCTTTGCTTGAGACAGTCTTTGATGCTTAGTATTAGTTTCTTTGTTGCAAGGTAAAAAATAATTGAATTATTTTTTCTTCATCAGCTTGCAAATTATTGAACTTGATGCACCCGGATTGCTGTATTCAGGTTTAAGGCGATTTTGGCTATCCGTATGTTCGGGTTTATGTCTAGCAAGCTTAATTGCTTTATTTTTGTTCCTTTCCAACATTTTTTGAGACAAAGCAGAGCAATTTTTATCTTTGACTGTCCAAAATCATTATAGTCTTTGTGTGTTGTTTTACCGCTGCACTCACTGATCTCATGTTGACATCCAATTCCTTGATCAGTAAGATCACTTTTTTGCAAGCCAACAACTTGCCGCTTTGTTTCACTTGAAATGCTCTTTAAACCTCAAAACTTGATGTTGCAATTTTGAAGATTTAACTGACTGTATTTCCGTAACTTCAATTTAGGCTTCTTATATTTTTTATTGACTATTAATAATTTAATTTTAAATCAGCGCGTAAATACTTTTGCACACATAACTTCACGCATTTTTCTAAGTAGTCATTAAGCTTCCAATTAAATCATCGAAGAAACAAACATGTTGACAAATACTTGATAATATATTTCAATTTAATCGATTTAACCTTTCATTAAAAAAAAAATAGTTCGAAAGTAAAGTTTCTTTTCAATTTATATTGATTTGAAGTTGTTTATATAAAAATAATCATAAATACGCTAATAATTTATGGAAGCAATATAAATATATATATATATATATATATATATATATATATATATATATATATATATATATATATATTTATGCATTACTTGAAATAACTTTTGAATGAAAAGTTCAATTTCTTTCAAATTTTCACTTGATGTCAAAAAATTGATTACGATTCTAAAAACAAAGAAATTTTTACTAAACTTATGCAATCTAATCTTAACACTTATTTTATTGAAATATGCGTGCCAAAGTATTAGGGCAGGAAAAATACTTGAAGTAGATTTTTTTTTTTAAACACTTTTTGAATTAAAAATGTTTAAATTTTAAATATCTTTAAATTTATAGTATCTTTTATACTTCGTCCGGAAATTTTTGGCATTGATTACTGATATACAGTGACAAAGCATTGTTTCCACCAGCATTATAATCACATTATTGTCATTATTTTCCTATTCATGTTTCAGAATATTAAATAAATCATTGTTCTCTTGACCAATTCAATTGTTCATTAGCAAATTTTAAGCGGACTTTTCGATTCAGCATAGAAATAAAAGGTTTCTTTGCAAACAGTCTTCCAAACAGATTCGCAGGCCTCAAACAAGGCTTGTTTGTGTCAACCCTGCGTTTTACATTATAAAACTCTTTCATATCAGCATTTAACAAGACAGCATTATTGAGTGGATCTTTTTTAGCGGCACGAATTAAAATTTTATATATATATATATATATATATATATAAATATATATATATATATATGTATATACATATATATATATATATATATATATATATATATATATATATATATATATATATATATATATATATATATATATATATATATATATATATATATATATATATATATATATATATATTTCTGTCTGCATATCTGATATGTGTTATAATAACAACAATAATAATAATAATATATTTCTTTTTATTTATCTAATGTAGACTTTAATTTTTTTTTAGTATTGTTTGAAGGATGTGGCTAATGTGCTACAGAATATAACAGATTTTAAATTTTTATCTGGCTATATTGCTGATAAACTTTAGGAATATAAATCAACAATTTTTGACCTTGTCATTCATGCTGCTACAGAAAAGGAAAGTTTAAAATTTACTGAGGTAATCTCTTAATTTTTTTTCTCACCTTTCTTCTTTATATATATATATATATATATATATATATATATATATATATATATATATATATATATATATATATATATATATATATATATGTATATACTATATATATATATATATATATATATATATATATATATATATATATATATATATATATATATATATATATACATATATATAAAACTTTCACACAGTTGTGGAATGTGCTGACACTATTAAAAAGAACTCTTTAGAATTGTTTACTTCTGCTTTACTTAAAAAAAATAATCTTAAAGAGGGGATTTATCATAACTATAATTTGAGCTTACTTATTTTTACAGTTTCTCAGGAGAAAGTTATTTTCATGCTTGCATTTAGAAATCAATTTCGCTTTTTTGTTTAATAAATATTCTTGGTCGGCATGTGTGATTTTTCCAAACTTTTTTTGTAGACATAATATGCGTTTTTTGGAAATATCATTATATGCAGGTGCTGTTTTAAGGATAGACCAATTCAAGAAGAATACATGAATATTTTTATCTTTTAATACCCATAGGTATTTTGACAACATGGTGTCATTTTGATTGCTAATTGCTTTTAAAGGATTGTATATGGTTTTACGTGACAATATTACGTATTCTTATGAGGAAGCCCCTAAAATTTTTGGAAAATGCAATTAATTTAGAAGCCCAAAGTATTGCTAAAAAATAAACCTTCAAAACAGAATTGAATCAATCACCCCTGCTCAAGCCTTTGTAACACTTAAAGAAAAAAACCAAACTTTCAAAACATACTCTCTTGTCGGTTATTGGTTCCCTCAAAAAGTGAGATTGGACATGTAAGCAAAGTTAAATTAGACAAAACTAATAATATTGTTAGAAATAAATTAAGTTTAAAAAAAAACACACTTGACTGCTTTGATGTAAGAACGTGCAGTTATGATGGAGCAGAAATTTGTGAATTTGTAGGACTCTACATTTTAGATTCATTAAGTAAAATAATCAATATTAATGATTTAGGCCTTTATCGTGACGATGATTTAATACTAATGCGTAAAAATCTGGTCCACAGCTCGATGAAATTAGAAATTATAAAAATTTTCAAATATGTTGGCTTTTAAATCGAAATAAGCATAAATTTAAAAGTTGTGAATTTTCTTGGTGTCACTCTTAACCTCTCTGAAAACTCATTTAAGCTTTTCAAAAAACCAAATGATGAATTATTGCATATTAAAATTAACTCAAATCATCCACCCCAAATTCTAAAACAAATCCCAATTTCAATTAATAACAGACTTAATCAAAACTACTCTAATGAATATGTATTCAATTCCTCAAAACGAATTTTCAAAGATGCCCTTAAAAAAAGTGGATTTCAAAGTTTTGAACTAAAATTTGATCGAGAAAAAAGAATATAAAAAAGCGAAATAGAACTAGAAATGTAATTTGGTTCAATCCCCCATATAGCAAAACTGTTTCAACTAACATAAGAAAAGTGTTTTTAAAATTAGTCAAAATAAACACATCCCGCCTTCTAATAAATTACAAAAAATTTTTAATCGAAATACAATTAAAGTTAGCTACGGTTGCACAAAAAATATGGAAAGAATTATTAAAGGTCACAATAATGCTTTGCTAAACAAAGAAGAAGTTCTAAATGAAAAGACAGCAGAAGTTTGTAATTGTAAACAAAATAACAATTGCAAATAAACAATCCTTTAAAAATAAAAAGCATTCAAAAAACACCGTGCTGTCAAAAATCCTATGGGAATTAAAGATAAAAATATTTATAAACTTATATTGAATTGGTCTATCCTGCATATAAAAATATTCCCAAAAAATGCATATTATGACTACTAGGAAAGTTTGAAATAATCACACATGCGAACCAAAAAGGTTTATTAAACAAAAAAGCAAAATTGATTTCTAAATGCAGGCATGAAAAATATTTTTCTCCTGAAAAATATTTTTTCCTCCTTTAAAAATAAAACAGAAGTAAATAATTCTAAAGAGCTCTTTTTAATAGTGTCAGCACATTCCACAAGTGTGTGAAAATTCTACAGTAGCTAAGTTATTTATGACTTCCGGTAAATCATTTTTTGGTATAAATTGAAGTTTTGTTAATTTAAGCATTCATTTCTGATGAGTCTTAATTGGTGAAACACTGTGTAAAATGAAAAAAGATTGTTAAGTGATTTTCGACAAATTTATTATTGCTCTTTTCTTTTAAGAACATTGAGCACTCTATTTTGTAGAATACATTGAAAATTATTTGTATATATATATATATAAATAATATATATATATATAAAATATACCTACAAATTGACATCTAAATTTAGCATTTATAGTCAAAAATGGCTCTTAAGATCTTTTTGACAGCTAGTATATAACTGTACTTATATTAAATATTATATAAGTACAGTTTATTACAAAACCATTAAATTTAATTGAGATCACTAATTAAATTTGATCGTTTTTTAAAAAACCGCAAAAATGCAAATTAAAAGACTACTATTTTTTAAAAACATAATGAATGATTTTATTTTACATTTTTTAAATAAAAACATTCTGCATGTTTTTATCTTTATCTTTTTACTAGTAAACATGCGCGAAGTGTTGCTACATCGACTATCTTATAGCCTGACTTGCAACGGAGTGTTCCCATATATATATATATATAATATATATATATATATATATATATATATATATATATATATATATATATATATATATATATATATATATATATATATATATACATATATTATGTGTTGCGCTAGCGGAATATATATATATATATATATATATATATATATATATATATATATATATATATATATATATATATATATATATATATATATATATATATATATATATATATATATATATACATATATATATATATACATATATATATATATGTATATATATATATATATATATATATATGTGTGTGTGTATATATATATATATATATTCCGCTAGCGTAACACTTATGAGGACATTTATACTTTGTTCCCGTAACGTACATTTTTTTTATATTTTTATTTTATGTCTATATTTCTTTACACATATTCAAGTTTATTATTTTGTTTTAAACATATATTTTTTATAAATATTTAAAATAAAAAATTTTAAAAAAATTTTAACTACATTTGCCCCCAAGGTAAGAATAACATGTTGATAAAATATTTCTTTTACTATTCTCAACTAAATTTATATTCATCGAGAAATTTTTATATTCCTAAAATGATCTCTTAGCGTTCGAAAACGATAGCCTTATAAAAATTGTAACTGCCTAAAATTGAGGGAGTTCAAACTTTATATGGTCATAACTTTCGAATGTTAAGAGATTATTAAATGAATTTTAAAAATTGTCAATGAATATAGATTTATTTGAAAATAGTTAAAAAATATTTTATCAACTTGTTGCTCTCATGTTTTGAGTAGGTGTAGCTAAATTTTAGGGTTATTTTGTTCTCAGACTCCTATCATTGCAATTTTTGCATAGCATCCTTATTTGATATAAGTATAAACATATAAAAGTTTCGAGTTCACTGCATGTTTGGAAGTTAATTTTCTTGAACTTTAAAAAATGCTGCATCCGCACCTGAGCTACACTGACTGCTATTGAGATCTTTATTGAGAGACCATCAAATCTACTAACTTGTGCTTAATCACGGTCATATTAAAAACAAAATAATACAACTAAATATTTAATAGTTATCAGTCTGACATATGCAATTACTTTAACTACTTTTCTGGTGATTGGGGAGGCTGAGTTTCAGACAAAGAGCTAACAAATCAATCGGACTGAAGATTGCGTTTTAGCAGATTGAGGATTCCTCATTAAAGATGAGCTTTCAGAGAAGGAAGCAAACCTTTACTTTAAAATATTTTTAAAAGGAAAAAAGCAACTTAGTCTGCATGAAGTTGGAACTATATTTTACCCACTGCCTCTATTTATATATTTATATATAACTAGTGGCAGTTTTATTTTTTTTTATTTAAAAACCCAAGGAACCTTTAGGTTACATTAACATCACAGTGTCCAACTAATGATTCATACAGCAAATAATGTTTTAGAGCTGTTTACCTTGCAAATATGTTACAAGCTATAAGCATTTTGCCGTGAGTAATTAAGAATCAAAAGGTACATACTGTTGGATTTTTTTAATAAAAATTTTTTATTATATTTATATTAAATTTTTCTATTGTGTTACATTACCATATCTAATATAAGTATAGTAAAATAACATTTAAAAAAATATTTAGCCAAAACATCAACAACTGCTTCAAGAAAAACAATAATGCCACTGTACAGTGCATTGAAAATAATTGTTCTGCTTAACTGGGGACTCATTATAGGTACCTTTAGCAAACAAGCTTCTGTAATTGCATCTGGAAAAAATAAGTATCATTTAATTTCATACCATCACTGTTAAGAGAAAATTTTTCATCACTTTGCTAGTTAATTAAACCATTTTTATAATTAAATAAACGCTTCTCTAAAATACCTTTTCCATGAAAGAATAGATAAATAGTCTACCAGGAGATGCTCCAAAAAAAGGCATATCAGACATAATATGAAAACCACAGTCAAAGGACAAAAAATTGTTATGCTTCTTTAACTGAACATAACAAAAAGTATTTTTGGCACAATATTCTATTTTTTTTGCCATATTGACAATATGGCAAAAAAATGGAATGTTGCGCACATTGTGTTAAATTTGCTTTTAAAATCTTTTTTTATATTACATGATTACTTGTATAATAGATTCACTGAAAACACTTTTATTTGTGTGGTATACGCTAAAACATATTGAAGTTGTAGTTCTCTCTATCTAATCTACCTAATGAACCTACGAAACTGATGATTGATATTGCTAATACCTTAGCTTCGCAAATTGATCATATTGTTTTTTAAATTATATTTGGCTAAAGTCTTTTTGGGAATGATTTAAAAGTTGGAATTCAGTTAGATGATTG